ATAATCAGTATTATCATTTAACTTGTTGCGGGAAAAACCCGACTATCAAATTGCAGGTTTCTTGAATTTCCCGAAAAATTGGAATGGTGGTTGGGAGGTCATCTACTTCAACTTACCTGTGGTCCAAATTACCGTCCTGGAGTTAGATTAGTATAGTCCGCGGCGCAAAGCACCGCGCACACCTTCAATTTGCATGCGGAACAACCTGCCCCAGCGGCCGCAGGAAGCAACTTCGACCACATTTTTTTAACTTTACATTTACTTCTAAAATTTTCTTTCTCTGCCAATCCTATTTCCCCGCCCACAAAACCCTATAGCCACCGTTTTTGCAGAACAAAATGCCGAAAGTAGGGTTATACGAGTGGGGCTACATAAGATACTTTTGCCCGAAATTTTAACTGCCTTTCCTGACGACTGATTCATCAAAGTCTTCGGAACCTTCATGCGGCTGCACTTGGAGTCTGATATCCAAGCTTGGAGCCCCTGGTTCGCGCAAGACGTCAACATCGTCAAAACGGTTCGACGGCGTGCAAAAAAACTTTTCTTTGGACTGGGCCCACTGCCCTATGAAACAGGGCTGTCAAACCGCAATCTCTTTCCCTTACGCTATATACAGCTTGGAGGGACCTTATTCTAACATTCCGCATATTACGTGCTCAAGACTCTTATCTTGTATTGCGAAGGTTCTTTGAGTTAGCAATAACAACGAACTTGGGGGTCATCGTCTCAAATTACGTGCAAATGGGGCCAGGCTGGACACTCGGAAGTTCTTTTCCTCCAAAAGAGTGGTCGAAGCTTGGAATGCTCTACTTCTGGATGTCGTCATGTCGGAATACCTAGACGTTTTTAAGTGGAAGCTGGATCGATATAGCAGCGCGATCTACAATACAAAATAATCATTGCCAACGGGCGCCAAAAAGTACAATAAGAATACAACCCTTTATATTCTAGAAACATTTGTTTTATAGCATAACGCTTTATAGTACGGAAGACCTTAAATTCTCCGACCGATGTATAAGATGGTGTAAACGTTAAAAAAAATTTACAAATTGTTACAATCTACTGACATGTATGCTTTACACTATTTTATTCATGTATAACCTACTACTTATGCTCTCTCATCATCATTACCACGGAAAGGTCTCCGGGGTTTCCCTACTTGAATATAGGCGAACCGTGGCGATACCATCAGCAATCGCATCTGCCGAAATTTGCGGTCATAGCCCACGTGGTCTCTAAACCTCCTCCCTTTGTTCGAAAAGCAGCAGCCTGTCGACGAACTTGAAGAATATTTCTGGGTAGGAGTGCAGCGCGAAGCGCACCCCTGGGCTTAAGGGAGCCTGGTTTTAGGAAATAAGACGGTCGGGGTATGTCAGGAAACAAATCAGTTCGTTATATTTCTGCAAAATGAAAAAGTTATGAGGGTAAGTTGGAGGATGTGCCGTGACCTCAGGAGGGAACACTGAAGTATCTCTTTAATATCATCTCTAACCCCTACTGGACCAGCGGCGAGCATATGCATGTCGGGGCGGAGTGTTCGCTGACTTCCAGCGAGGTCATCGAGGCACGTTTTTTTGGTAGTACCGCTAAACCCAAGTCGAATAATGGCGAACAGGTGAGGATGTCAGTAGAATTAGAAAAGTCTCCGTACTTATAATTTGCAAGTAAGCGATTATTACCATGGTTAATTTGAAAAGCCATTTTGCTTAATATGCTGACTTAAGCGGCTATTGTACATGCTGGCCTTCCGAGGATCTCCCGCACTACATTAGCATCATCCAATCGCTGCTAAACCAACGACCGGTATGCTAAAACTGGAAAATGGTGGAAAATTCAACTTACTTACAATTTGTAAGTAGGTGAGTACAATAAATAAGTGCCCCTCAGAGGCCCCACGACCTACTCTTACCTATGTATATTTTCGCAATCCTGTAAGCGGACGTTGCAATCAGCAAGGTCGTATCTGGCTGCAACTTCCGCACTTCGTTGACCTTGGCGAGGCCCCCCCGTTTGACCTTCCCTCTAAAACTGACAGTTTTTTCTTCTTAAAAATCTTAAGGAGGTTTTTCACTGCTCACTTTCACCTGTACTCATGTCGATCGGCCTCGCCGATAAGCTGAGATACTCATTTCTGATATCACTACACACATGTAAAAATGGGAAGTATGAGGAAAACGCACCTACATTTCCCTCAATTATAGTGGTACTGAATTGTTGGAGTAGGATCCTGGCACATCCCTGTCTGCAATAGCTGACAGCCGCAATTTACGAAAGCCATGAATTTTGCCTAGCTGCATAGTAACAGATATGCTTCAGGTACAGCAGCATCTGAATTCTATTCTACATAAGAGAAGCCTTCTACCAGACGGACATGTATCGAATGACCTTGCCTCCTCCCGTGTAAGGTCTGTCATACGTGGGCCTTGTTAAATGGATATTGCAAAATCACATACAATACGATTTAACTGAAATCACATAAACAACGAGTTGTAGAAATAGGAGGAGGAGGAGGGAGAAGAAAAACAAGAGGTAAGAGAAGAAGAGGGATGTCAAGCAACTTGATGAAAATCACAAAATGTTGCTTAAAAAATACCTCATTAATGTTTTCGGCGAAACAACGAGCACATCGTCTATGTCCTGGGTAAGTTGGCTTATACGTTTAGCCGCAGTCCAGCCGCGAGAGATCAGCACTTTGCGAGCTTGTTGTAGTGAATCAATTGCATTCTGAAGATCACAAACTTGTCTGCGGAGTCTCTTTTGGAACTATCGGCGTTTAAAAATAAAGATAGCATAAGCAGGTCACTTTAGCCTTCAACAACTGATTTGGTGGACTAAAAATAATTTAGAGGAGTTTGACATAAAATAGAAAAACCGAGCTGGAAACCGCATAGCTGACTGCTTTGTATTCAGAGTAACTTTAAAGAAAAGTGATTAGAAGTGTGTGAGGCATCATGCTGAATCACATTTAAAATACGCCTAAATGTTATCGCAGACAAGTATTCAGAATATTTAAAGCATGCATTTTACCAACCACGTTTAAATAGAGCCAAGGTTCTGGGGGAAGGGGAAATTAAAGAAGGCTGTCTTACGCACACATAATTAGTTGATGACAAAAGTAACTGCTCCCCTGCTTTCTAGTTAAGATCAGTTCTTGCCTATGAAATACACTCGTGGATAAATAAATAAATTTAAATAGGTGTCGGCACGTTAATTACATGCGATATCTTCCCATCTGAATGCTGTCTTGTGTGAACAAATAGTTGGCGAGGTGATTTCGATCGAATGATTACCGAATTCACGCGCACTAAGTGGTAACTTTTATTTTATTGAAAACATAACTATCTGCTTTTTTCGTGCACGTACACCTAGTGCCTCATATCAGTTGGCATCAACTGATTAATGCTTACACATGCGATTATGTTACTTGGAACAAGTGCGTAGTCGTAAGTGTTTATCTTTCGGAACTTACCGGCAATTATGTAAACAACCTCTTTTGAAATGTTCGGCTGCTCTTAACTACTGTGTCCAAAAAGGGAGATCAAAAGCGTAAATAAAGCTGACCTGACCTCACTGGGAAACGTTCCGGAACATATTGCACGGGCTCATTGAAAACTACTGTTTGCTTTCAAGTAGATGGTTGAGCAACAGACCTTAAAGTTAACAAAAAGTGGAGGGCTTGGAAATAATCGCTCGTGTACAGGATTTCTGCATCCCTTAAAACTCAGAGAAGTCGGGTTTAAGGTCTTATTCTTAAAACAAGACGAGATTTCAAAGTGGACCTGCTGAACCATGCCACCGTGAACCCCAAGCTGTTTTACAGTTAATTCAGGCAGATTACACGAAACAAGGATCCGACACCCATGGTAAGGACCGCCGAAGCGAAAGCTGATCATCTCTCAAAATTGTTACGGTCAGTTTTAGCAAAGGAAACCGAAAATGGTTACGCTGCCGATGATTCTGAAGTGGATAAAACAGTCGGAACTGTTCAGTTCTCCTAGGTGTTTATTCTTAAGGAAACATTTAATCACTGTGTCCCGCTAAAGTGCCAGACAAGATGTTTAAGGAGGTCGCCAGTGAGCAGGCAAAATCATTTTCAGTGCTTTCCAAAACATTCTCTGAAACCGGATGTCTACCACATTGATTACGCCGCTCTATAATGGTCGAAACAGGATATCTGCAAACACTTATCGAACGATCAGCGTTACTACGAGTTGCTGCAAAAATAGGAAAAATAGTTAAGCAACAAGTACTGCAGTTCCAATAACATTTATATCTCCTTTCTGATGTCCAGCGGGGTTTCTGTAGAGGTGGGTCTTGCCTGACAAGTTTGTCTACTGTTTAGAACACTGGACTTAGCCATCTATTTGGAGAAGGATTCTTGCTCCTTCCGGTCTGTACTAGCTGACAGCTGCAATTAGCAACAGCCATGCATTTTGACTATCTGCCCAGTAAGTGATATGTCTCAGCTGCAATAGCATCCTAATTATGTTTTGAAACAGACAACAGTTTAACCAGGCAGACTCGTATCGCATGACCATGCCTCCTTCCCCCGCAATGTCTGTCAAACGTGGGCCTTGTGGAGTGAATGCTGCAGAAACAAATGCAATATCCTTTGAATGAAAGCACATAAACAACTAACCGTAGAGATAGGTGGAGGAGCATAAGTAGGAGGAGGAAAAGGAGCAGGAGCAAGAGAAGGTCGGATGAGAAGAAGAATGTCAACCAGCTTGATGAAGATGACAAACAGTTACTAAAAATACCTCATTAATGTTTTCGTCGAAACAAGGAGCACAAAGTAGTAGGCCGCAATGAAGGCAGACCGTGGGGTGATCATTTGGACCTCGACAGCATTGGCAAATAACACAACGGAGGGAAAGGAAAGAACTGAAATAGATAGTAGTATAGACACGAATATGCGTTCCCCATGGTTCTTGTTGTAAAGAAGAGGAAGACGCGATCTCTGGAACGAAGAAAACTATCCTTCCAGAGATCGCGTCTTCCTCTTCTTTACAAGACAGTAGTATAGCGTGTCATCAGATTAATTGGACAGTCTACCGGGTAATTTGTGTCGAGTATAGGTCTGTAGTGTCCGACTGATAAAACTTGGATGATAGCTTCTGGCCGGCTGTACCTATTTATATATGTTGAACTCGGATAAGTTCTTTGGCAAACAGACTTTATTACGTATGCTTTCAACGCTAGTTCCCCAGGTCGTCGTCAGATGCAGAGTAAAGTTAATGCGCCCAAAAATAGCTGACCTCGTGAGTGTGCAGGAAAAATCGATACTGGTGTGTCGTTTGCTCCCATAGGCCGTCGCCGCGTGTTTCATGCCGTTTGGACTGACTCAATCCTGTCCGCCTTCTGAATGGGACCTTTGTACGCGGCATTCATCTCAAAATGTCGGATGATGTATGATTTGTCCGAGTGAATGGTCCCGAGGAATTATAGACCTTTCGTGAAGGTCAGAGAGCAACAATATGGGTAACTCTTAATTCAATTGGCTAGAGCATTTGCTGTACTAACCCCCCCCTCCCCCTTGATGACATGAGTTCGAGACCGCCGGGTTTTTCACACTTCGGTCAAATTAATGCAAGTTTTGTTTCACGTAATCGTGCGCCCGGTGACCAGGATATACATGAAGAATTTGCGCGCGGAGGCAGATTTACCCATTTGACGACAATAAACTGCATCGCACGTACCACACGTGATCTTATAGATAACCCTTTCACAACACTTTAGCCCTATACTAAGGGTGTTACAGTTGGATGTATACAGTTGTCATTGGTGTGTGTCCTCCGAATCGGCTACTTCCTTTGGTGTCTATCAGCGATTTCAGACATGTTTGTGATGTGTAGAAGGCTTTGTCAAGTATATGGCTTCAGCATGTGATTGCAACTGAGTCCTTTTTTTTTGTCGCTCGTTGCCGTCGTACGAAGTCTTGAATGTAAAAATTTTGAGAAGATAATTCGAACAAAGTACTTAGCCTTCCTGGTCCAAGCAGTGTGTTTCTGCTCGATTTAGTAGACTGTTACCAGAACTCCGTGTATGAGAGATAGGGTGATTACTCTCATTGTTTAAAAATACTTCTGCGTACGATTTCATGCGGTGAACTGTTGTGCGTAAGGTTCCATCAAGCTTTCGCCGTCCACGCACGTCGAGGAACAGGAGTTTGGCGTCAGCCAACTTCTCCACCGTGAATTTATTCCACAAATCATAGAGTTCATAATGTAATGTAGGGCTTCTAGTTGATCCTTTCTTATGATGACGAAAGTATTGTCTACATATCACAGGATTGATTAGGGGAAGAACTCTGTTCTCGAGTCTCTGCATTGTCACGACAACAAGAAAAGTCGATATAGGCGACCCCATAGTAGATCCTTTCAGCTACTATTGGCGAACGAAAAGCTGGTATGCACGTACAAGTATAACCAGTTTAAGTAGGCCAGTTGCAAGAACATTTGTCGTGAAGGACTGTAGTACTTCATCTGTGCACTGCCTTGCTACATCAAACTGTATGGACGTGAACAAAGAGACGACGCCCAAGTAGACTACCGAGGCAAACGAGTGACATGTTGGTGGAAAAGGTTACAAACGAGCAGCCAACTAACAAGCCGAAATCGGCCAAGTTATGATTTCAGAGAGGAGGGACGATAAAAAGGTTGGTCTTATTCTGCCTTCATTTGGCCAGCCATGACAGGGACTTTCAGCTGGGCCCGAAATCACAAATATGCGCTGAATGAAGGGAGAATAAGCACGTAACTGGATGGATCGATTAACCACTGCTGCAGCTGCCAGCATCTAGGCATCAACCAATCAACGCGCGTCATTCATTAACAGCTATGCGGCTGCTAGCAGAGTTCGAGAGAGACAGAGCCCCGTAAGAGTCCTGTAACTGATTGCTGAGCGCCCATCTACCATTATTTATATTCTCAATCCAAACCGGCAAGAGAACGCATCTGTGGCTCAATGTTTAGGGTATCAGAATTCTGACCAGTAGGTTGCGGGTTCAATCCTCAGGTTCTCTAGAACCTGGGGGTTTGGTATGAGTGACTAATGACGGCTAATAAACAGAAATAGCCATTTTTGCCTTCCTTTACTTTGTCAGTAATGCTCTTCTGTCTATACTCGACATTCCTGATCGAAGCTGACAAAAGGGACCAGCGACTTTATGCCAGAGTGTTGGACGTAAAAACGCTTAGCGATCAAGGTGTCCCGGTTCGTATCCCAGGTTACCTAGGACGATGGCCTATAAATCGAAAACGGCAACCTGGCTGTTTGCGTGCCCTAAGGCATAAATACCATCGCAGGTGAAGGTATACACACGTGTGTAGTGCTACAGCAGGCATTTGATATTCACATACTACAAACTGGTAGCTCCGACGAAATATAAACAGGCAACCCTCTCATGATCCTCTCCAGGAATCACGATTCGCGGCATCCCGAAATAATATTCCCGACTTCGACTGAGTTGCAGGGTTCAATAGCGCGCCCCAGTCTTCAAACCTGCCAGTCTTGAATGTGGACGCAACTGTCCAAAGGAATATGCCAAACGAGAGGCGGGAAAGCTTATACACACATCAATGACACATGGGAGGAGGTCGCGAAATGTTGTGCTGTCTCTTTGAGGATAACGTTTTCATTAGGTTTACATTTATTTCTCAGAGTCGTGTCCATCATCGTCTGGGTAGAAAATATGGTGTTTTGGAAATCAACCTCAAATATCATATTCAAAGAAGACGTTAGTATGCACCACTAGGAATCCATTAACATCCAGCCAGCCAGCAGGGTCTTGGAAACAGTTATATGACTGTAGTTGTATTTCTGTACCAGATAAGTTGGTACCAACGAAGTTAAATGAGAATAATCACTTCTGGTTTACTAGCCATCATCCGTCAGTTATAGCCCTCCCCCAGATGATACGTAGCCATGTGGTGCGCCAACGAATATTTATTAACCCGATCAAAATCACCAGGACAAAAGATAGAGTGTTAGTCTCAAGGATCAAGAGAGGATAAAATAATAGAAGCCCAATTTTAAGAGAATGCTGCTTCCTTACAATAGAGATGAGCTCTCATCGACCAATAAAAGAAACAGAGGCAGTTGAATGGATTAACCTTACCTCTCAACTGCCTGAATTTTGACATCAGCTTTTGCTCTATCAGAATCTTCGAGGTTCATCGGAGGGTTTGCGGAAGTCGAGTCCTCCGTTGGCATGTCCTCTGCCAACTTCTGCGGCACAAGGAGTTCCAGGCTAGCCAGTGGTGCGACGATCCAGAACTCAAAGGCGTCATTTGGGGTAGCTTAAATAATTCATGCTAATTAAACAGCCAACGATACGACCAAGGTCACCGTTAGCTGATGGCACACAGTAAACCAGAAAAGGGCATTTAAATATGAGCTCTTTAAAAAAAAATTAATTGCCCGTCGCTATGCGCGACCTCTCTGGTTTGCTTTCGCTCTCAGATGCGGAGCCAACTAGTGTGAGGTCCGATTCATACTACCCCCAGTGTTGAAGGTCACACGCATCGTATGTGGGATCTATTATTGTCAATATCTTTTAGCAGAGTCATTGCTACTTTAATTACTACGTCCAATCCTGGCTCAGCGAGCCAAGAAACGACAAATATACATGAAGGCCACATAAAACATACATAGCGGCGTTATCACAATTCTCAGTCTTACAGAAAGTACGTTCAAAAAAAGCTGATATCTTGAAAATGGGAATATTTAACGAACTTAGAAAGCTGATATCCTTACATCTGTCACGCCTAGAGAACATGTGGGAAGACCGTGCAACTAGTGGACCTTATAGAAAGCACTAATCCAATTCAGATTCGTAGGACTTAAATTCCTATCCTCTGTGAATTTTTAAATGACAGAATTGCTGGATACTGAAACGCGGCCCACTTCGGAGGGTCCTAGTTAATGCATTTAGGTAGAACAAGCATGTGCGTATTGCAAATCCTCACAGTGGAAAATGTGGTTTACGGCACCAAACCTTAAGTGATTAATGGAGCCTTGTTCTGTGGTTTCTACTATATCTTGCGTTGTGTTTAATCAGACTCCTTAAAACCGACGTTGATTGTTCACGTAGTGCTACTGACATTCATCACAAAATAAATACCATGCACAAGCTATTAATGACTGATATCAACCGTCGCTGTACGGACATACTCATCGCCGCAGATGTCCACTTTTGGGTTACTCGGGTGAATATGAGCAAGAAGAAACTTATGAAGACAGCATTAACTTACACAGTCCAATCTGTCGGCCACTGTTTAGTCACGAAATGCAGGGTACACGCTTCCGGACTCGGACTCTAATAAAGTTTCCAGCACTGCAACCGCGCTCTGGGCATCTTCTTTTAATTTGCACAACTCGAGAACATCCTAGAAATGCAGAAAGACGCTATTTAACATCAGCTTGTCGGTTATCCAGTCGGCACTATGTAGTTACTGAATTGCAATACGAGGTACAATCTGCAACGGCTTTGAGCTGATCTTGTGTGCTTTAGAAACGAGGACATTAACAGACTGAATTTTAATATTCAAGGCTTTCTGTGTTCGTGAAAGCATCTAAAAATTGTCAAATATTAAGTGATACAGGCGAGTGGATGCTTTGATTCCTTGGCCCTATCCTGTCAAGGTGAGCAATCTAATCAGGTGGAGTTTTCTGGAAACCCTGCTTGAAAAATCAACTTAGTTGTGTAGAATTAGTATTACGCAAGCGTATCTTGACTTTGTTCACGGATACCGGTTAGTGTCACCTGTCACAAATGCGTAGAGCCTTGACTGAATATAAGCCTTTACAATCAATCCAAAGGAATAATTCACATAGGCCGTAATCGAGTGCTACAAATCGCTTGTACCTGAAAGAAATGGCGCTCGCTGATCAGATAGGAATCAGTTCTTGTCCCGTTGTGCCCTATGTCTCAATAAAGAGCCTCCATAGGCAGCTGAATTCCGATTTTCGGTAGGTATTTGCGCACGCGTTCTTCCAACTTGTCATTTCGCACTAAAACTGTTTCATTGAATTCAGTCTGACAGTGGATACATCTCGCGACACTTCACGAAGAGGTGGACAGAAGACAGGGACGTCCACAGAATGTATGGCCACATGGCAGACTGTAGGGATTTCGAAAACAAACAGAGAAACAGAAGGAAACGTTGGAGTAGGAACACGAATGAGCATATCAGGCCAGCAGACTGATGTGGCACTATATAGAATGGTTTGTCTGTAGTGTACGTCTGAAAAGTCTGACCAACTTCTCCTTTAAACACAGTATGCCTGGCAATCCATGCAGAGGGCATGATGAAATCGGTCTGGGTAGTCTAGACTTTATTCGGTCACGTTTGTATACACGGAGTGTATGTATTAAAATATGGACAACCTCACATATTTAATTAAGATAAGAAGTAATTCTTTGAGAAACTGTAAAATTTTCTGTGTACCTTTTTGAGGCTGGTCCCCCAGCTCCTCATCAGAATATCGAATACGTACAGAAAAAATCGACTAATTTATTCATGTCCAGAAAGCATTATATAGTTTGGTGACATCTGCGCCCATAGACGTTACATCTGGGGAAAACCCGAAGACATTTCTAATACCCAAAGCCGAACGTAGTCTCAAGGGTAACAGGGATTGTAGAACTATCGACGGGCACATTTGACGCATCTCATCTTATAGCTTCTCGTGAATTAATCAAAGGCAGATGCAGTCGTTATTTTGTAAACAATAAGAAAATAGGGGAAAATACGGAACGTAGTGCTCCTTGCACGCGCTAAAAGTAATTTCATCTACCTCAGTCATGGCGCAAATGTTCTCGAAAGCTTAAATCACGAGCCATAAGCCGTAAACAAAGATATGACATCCGTTATGATAGAGATCTGGAGTAAACAGTGTGGCGCCTTTTTAGCATGCAAACGGATTTCTGACTAGGGCAGTTGGTTGTGTTAGGTGAGGCCTAATACCAGAGAATATAGAGTGGCTATCCTGTAATCACAATCATCAGAGCGACAGCAGTTCGCGTGCTTATTGGTCGATCGATTTCGTAAATCTGCGTTCTAATTGGTAGTCATGTAAATTGCTAAGCGCACAGATGTGCGTGAAGAGCCAAAATGTTCTGCTATGATATGTGGAAAAAGACTGCTCTTGTGACCTACCTGTCTTTTTAGATAAACTCCTCTACCATTTAATTTGTTTGCACTTCTTTTCCGCTAAATTTGCCCTATGTTCAAACAGTCCTACAGGGAAACATTTTGCAGAAACAGTGCGCGAGACTTTGCGCAAATATGCCGTGAAGTTACGGAGGAAGCAAACGTGTTCCACGTGGGTTGGAAAAGTAGAGAAAGGCAACTAAATACAAGAACAAGATCGGCCAAGATATAAGGGCAGACAGGAAAGACGACAAAAACTGCGGGTCGATTTATACAGTCCAGATTAAGCTTATTCTGCCGCCATTCAGCCAACCATAACACTGCCCACAAACATGCAATCAAGTACGTCGCCGATAGTCTCCGCACTTTGTCAAGCAGCTGGGTCATTAGCACTTCGTCGAGGCAAATTTAATCAATGTCTCACCACCTGTCATGCTCTGCCCCTACATATTGAGTACTTGTTCAAGAGAGATTGGCCGCACATCGATTTATTGACCTCTCAAAGCAAACAAGATGGCACAGGCAACCGCCTTCCACTCTGAAGTCGGCCAACCTAAAATTGCAGAGAGGAGGAACAACAGAAAATGTGGGTATATTAATACAGCCCGTTTTGGGCTTTGTCTGCTTTCATGCAGCCAAATGCTATCAGATTAATGAGTGACTCATCACCTGTAAGGCCGTGATGAACTTCTTTTCCATAAAGAGCTACTGACCCATCTGTGAGATCGAGTTTTGAACGATATGTGCCGTACGCGAGCTCATGTTTGGGTTTCCAGTTCCAGCTGTTAGTTGGCTAAGGGAAGGCAGAATACGCCCGATACAAACAATATAAATATACTTGTATTTTCTGTCGTCCAAGCAAAATGCAGACTAACAGATGGGAGTGAAAACGCAAGCATGTACTCGAGTATGGCGCAGACAGTCGCAGATGGGTCATGAACCCTTCGTCGAAATGAAATTCGTCAGAGTGTCACCATCTGTCATGGTCTGCCCCTGCAGATCGGGTATTTATTCATAAGGGGACAGGGGGCACACCGATCCATCGGCTTCTCAAAGCAAACAAGATCCGTATGGGTGGCGCAGGCAGCTGCCTACAAGGGTGAAGTCGGCCAACTTAAAATTGCAGAGACGAGGGACGACAGATAATGTGTGATAAAGTTCTTTTCGTGTTCTTTCTGCCTTCATGCAGCCGACAGCCATCAACTTCATAAAGGACCTATCACCTGTGAGGCCGTGATAAACTTCTTTTTGATAACGCGCTTTGATTCCACCTACAAGATTCGGGTTGTGAACTAGCTGCACCGTACGCGAGCTCATTTTTGTAGTCCTCCGCGTGGAACCATCATAGCCTGAAACTATTCACCAAACCAAAGATACACAAAGTTGTCGTCCGCACGATACTTTTTTACAAAGCGGCTACCTGGACCTTCTACGCCAGCCGAGCTCGGAAACTGAACCAGATCTACCATACTTGCCTCCACCAAAAACTGAACCTGCGACGGTAGGACACGATCTTGGACACAGAAATCCTGTAGGGAATTGGAATCCTCAGTATCAACGCCCTGGTGAGGCAACTTCAACAGCGATGGGGCGGCCACTTGGTGCAGACTACATAAGCGGCTCTTCTACGGTGAGGCCACTGTGGAGGGAAAAAAGAAGCGATACAAGGAAGAACTCCCTGAAGAGCCTTCAAATAAACACGACGCTCTGTTATGAACGCGAATTAGACAGATCGGCCTTGGGAAGAACGGTAACAACAGGCGCAGCCATCTATGAAGCCAGCCCGATCGCTGTCGTCAAAGCCAAAAAGACGGTCTGCCAAGAACCGATCAAACAGGCGAACGCCGCCAGCGCCTAAGACCTTCCAGTTTGCCCGCACTGCTAACGCCTCTTCCGTGCACGTATCGACTTGGGCGGCCATCTCCAGATGCAGGGCACCATCCCTCCGACCACATCCAATTATGGGCGTCAAACACAGCAACAGTCACTCCTGTTCCCAACACACTTGTCACAACGTCGACCGCCACTGACAACAAAGCAAAATTATGGGCGTGGTATTTGGATAACACCTTCGTCGTCATCCAGCGGGATCAGGTGCTTACGTTCAAGGAACGTCTCAATAGCGTCTTCCCGGACGTCTAGTTTACGATAGAGGAGGAAAAGAACAATGAGCTGACCCTCCTTGATGTCCTTGTCCGTCGCAAAGATTGTGGTGGCCTTAAGACTAAAGTATTCAGGAAAGTGACCAACACGATGAACACACTGAATTACAACAGTAAAAACCCAGTCAGCCACGAACGCAGTTGCGTAAGGGCGCAGTATCGGCGTTTTTAGACACACTGCAGCAAACAAGAAGATACACTTTCGACGGGTGTTCAGGGATAATGGCTATCCGCGCAACT